CATATGGAGGAGGAGACATCCACCATGTGGCCCAGTGGCTTTTGCATTCCTAAGTCTGGTGGCTCATCACGGTTCAGAGCTAGCCACGCCAGACAAATCCATGAGACTTGATCTCCAATTAACCCGCCAAAAGCTGGAGTGTGGCTAAGTGATAGAGCACCAGCCTTGAGGGGGGGAAATGCTAAAGAAGAGCATGAGTTCAAGACCCATGACAAGCACATAAAAAAGGGAGAGGAGGGCAGGGGCTACTGGGCAGGTGGCTCAGTGGTAGAGTGCTTGTTTTGCATGCCTGAGGCCCTGGGTTCGATTCCTCAGCACCACATAAGCAGAAAAAGCTGGCAGTGGTGCTGTGCGGCTCAAGTAGTAGAATGCTATCCCTGAGCTCAGGGACAGCACCCAGGCCCAGAGTTCAAGCCTCACAACCAACAACAACAAAGAAAAGAGAGCGGGGTGGGGCCATATTATGGTAGCAGTAACTAAAATTCTGGTGCATTTCCCTTCTGATTGTTTCTGTAGGGATGTAAGCCCAGAGTACTACCCAATAGTCAGTCCCTTTCTGCTGGTGATACAGACTGGGCTGACCCTTAAGTAGGACAAGTGACTCAGTTTCCCAATCAAACCACAGGCCCTGGGCTCTGACTCATTGCCTGGTGAGGTGAGGGTGGGGGGGGGGAGGAGGAGGATAAAACAGGGCAGAGCCGTCTGAAATGGGGACACTGCTTTTGAAAATCTCACAGTGAGACTGTACGTGGAGCAAGGGGGTGCTTCTTTCTTCCTTACCCCAATTCTCAGGAGGCCATGAGCAACCCACCCCCAGGAAGGCTGTGCGCTTACTAGACCAGTATCTCCTCCTGTCACACTTCGCCCCCCTCCTCAGAAGATAGGAAGGAGAGGGGAGGCGCTGGCTGGATCAGAAGGAAGAACTGGAGTCTCTCAAGTGGGCTCTGCATGGCTCAAGCCCAGGGGGGCTACTGAGAGCACCCCATTATCTCCCCTACAGCCCTGTCTTTGACTTACTATGGAATCAAAGGTTCTGTGCTGCTCTGTGTTAGTGCTTCATGTCTGCAATCCTAGCTACTTAGGAGGCTGAGATCTGAGGATCTCAGTTCAAAGCCAGCCCAGGGAAGGAAAGTCCATGATGAGACTCTTACCTCCAGTTAACCACTGCAAAACCGGAAGTGGAGCTGTGGCTCAAAGTGGACTGGAAATGTGTCTTAATGGTATACAGTGCTTGCCTAGCATGCAGGAAGTCCTGGGTTGGGTTCCTTAGTACCTCATACACAGAAAAAACTGGAAATGGAGCTGTGGCTCAAATGGTAGGAGTGCTAGCCTTGAGCTTAAAGAAGCTCAGGGAGGGGCTGGGAAGGTGGCTCAGTGGTAGAGCGCTTGCCTTGCATGCCAGAGGCCCTGGGTTCGATTCCTCAGCACCACATAAGC